TTACGATGTGCTTGATTTATTACTCCTCGAATTTGTGCCATTGATAATACTTTTTTATACTAAAAAATAAAAAAAAAAAATTAGTTAATAAATTAGTAAATATAATAGAATTATTTTAAAATAAATTATATAAACTTACGTGTAACTGATTTCGTCTAGATGAATGTAAAAACCCATTGTAGACCACAATCTTTCAACTGATGCTGCATTAACACATATACTAAAAATTCGCATTGTAACAAAACCTAATTCTTTCGTTTTACTTAAACACCATTTCCAATATTGTAAAATATTGCCATTCCATTGTCGCCAAGTTGCATTATTAAAAGGATAAGATTTATTCTGATATAATCCAAATTCACGAAGAATATTTTCAGGTTCTTTTTGGGCCCAAGTACAATAATAATAGATTAGCCACTAACCAAAGTCAACCCAATTCAAATTAGGTAATGTTATATCAAATTTTTCAAATCGATAATCTGGATGAAGAATAAATGAAAGCAATAATAGTGGCTGTTTCCAAGTTTTCCATCAGTTTTGAAGACGTTTGCACATTTGAGTAGAGAAATTTTCATCTCTATATTATTAAAAATTTCATAAAAATAGCCAAAAGAATGCAGAACTTCAAAGAGGCAGGTTTTATCTCTTTGTAAGATATTTAAGCATCCACATAAAGGTAAAAGTAAATCTTTTAAAATTCTTGTGATTTTTCAAAAATTATCATTATTTATCGGATTACATAAATCTGCCGGTAAATATAATTGATTTTGATTTAATCTTGAACTAGATCCTTCTGGCCTATCAGGAGATTCATATTTTGCAACAAGCGTCTAAATTTTAATTATATTAAATAAGTATTTAATAGTGAATCAATGATAGAAATAATATTAAATACCTTTAAAGCTTCTTTAGAATTTAAAATACTTCCAAAACAATAATAATAACTATTTCATCTAGTATCACCAGGTGGAATTAAATTAATATATTTTTCATATTGAGCTTGCTGTTCATCACGAAGTTTACCAATGAAGTATGTATGCAGTTTTGAAGTAAAATAGGTAGCAATTTTATTGGCATTTCTTGCAACTTCATTAAAATTATCATTTTCTTTAAAAATATCAGCAACACAAAGATTAACTTGATGGGCAAAACATGGAAGATATGTAATATCAGGATGGAGAATTTGAAGTATACGTCTAATAAATAATTTAAAATTTATTAATTTTATTTTAAATTTTTTTTTAGTTATATTTTTTATAATTTACCTGACGCTTGCATATTGTGAAGCACTATCCGTAACAATTGCTAAAATTTTAATACCAGCATTCTTTACACTATTAGTTAATTCTTCAATCTTTTCTTGAACTTCTTCTTTTTGACTCCGATCTGCATTTATATCTTCAGCTTTCCAAACAAGTATATCACCATCAGATGTTATTAAAACACTACCTAATAAATTTTGGTTTATTACATTCGTCTATCCATCTAAGGTTAATGACACCCCAATCTCATCCATTTTTACTTTTTTTTCAATTATTTGAGTAATATCAAAGCTGGCATTAGTTAGAATTTTACCACTTAATCATTTTCGTGTTGGAAGTTTTAAATTTGGATTAAGAAATGTAAACATTTCTTGAGAATCTTTATTTTCTACCTAACAGAAACTCCACCCATTAGAAATTGTTGCTTTTAAGACCACATACCACCATTTTCGTTCTTGTGATTTAGATGGTTTTCGAATTGCAAATTTATTTATCGGACCGCGTTGAATACTAGAATTTGTAGAATCTACAGTAATGATGGACATACTATCATCAAAAAAACTGTCATTTTTTTCATCTATTTTATTATCATTTAAATCTTGAGGTTCAATTACATCTTCGGATAATTCTTTAAATAAAATAATCATATTTATAAATATTTTAAAATTAAATATATGTATATATTTCAAATTTAAAAATAACTTACGAGGTCTTTTTTTATTTTTCAAACTTGCTTTCTGACGTTCTTTAGTAGTCTCACTATCTGTATTATTTAGTATTTCATCACCTTTTTCTTTACCTTGAATTGTAAAAAAATTCTCACATTTTTGAAGATGTCGTTTAATACATCTTTTTGTATTTACTATTTTATTTGCATAGGCATATTTGCAGGATACTCTTGTCTTACATGCTCTACATATTTGCCATTTCATTTAATACTTCTATATAAACCGTTAACCTATGCTTTTCCATTTTAAAAATTCTTGACGAAAGTTGATAAAAAATAATGCGAGACAAATGGATGAAAATATTAAATTGAGCAATCTAAAGACTGATGGTTTAAAAAGTGAAGGAAAAAAAAGAGAAATATATTACACAGCACTACAATATAGAATGCCGTAAAAATTTTTTAAATGTTATTTACAATTAATGAGGTGAGTGAAAGGCCGCACGATTTTTTAACGTATAAAAAATAGAGGGTTTATATATTCCTAGAGAAAAAAATTCAAAGGAGGCTTTTCCTATCTAGGGAATGATCAAAGTTGATAAACAAAATATCAAAAAAAAAATTTATTATATAATATACAGTATAAATTGCTGATCATCGATTATTTCAATTGAAGCAGCTGTTCATGTCCAATAATCCTTGTCCACTGGAATGGACTGTCCAGTCCAATAGAGTTCTATTGGACTGGTCCAATCTAATGCCCAACACTGGGTACAACAGATTCGCATTTATCCCAACTAGCAGGAGTTGCTAAAACTCAAAAGATAGATGGGAATAGTATCATGAACATACAATTGGTATCTTACCGTGATTGTAAAAAAGGTATTAAACAAAAAAAGAAGGATCTATGCGCATTATATTAAAACGCCAAAAACTTTAATGATATCAAACTCAAATGGATCCTCAAAACTTCATATGACATTTGTGATGAAGCAATGAATGATTTGCTTAAAGGATATTCTTCCAATATTGCTACTAATCGTAAAAATTTTAAGATGAAGTTCCATTCCAAAAAGAATTCTCAACAGTCTATCACAGTCTTATCAAAGCATTGGGGTAAATCTCGTGGTGAATATTCATTTCTTCCTAAAATCAAGTCATCAGAATCTCTTCTAAAAAAACTTGAATATGATAGCCGTCTTGTTATGAATTGGCTTGGTGAATATTATCTTTGTATACTCAGACCACTTGAAATATAGGCTGAAAATCAAGGTCCTATATTTCAAAAGGTTTTTATCTATTTTTTTTTTTATTATTTTTATTATCTATTAAATCAAAACTTCAATTAATTTTATATTTAATAATTTAATAGGAAGGATCAGGAGTGATTTCTTTGGATCCAGGTGTACGTACATTTATGACCGGTTATGATCCAAGTGGAATGGCTATTGAATGGGGCAAAAATGACATTGACCGAGTTTACAGATTATGTCATGCATATAACAAACTCCAAAGCAAGCGTGATCAAATTCATGGAAAAAAAAATAAGCGAAAACGTTACAGGTAAATTTATTAATCAATTAATTATAATATTTATTTATAATTTAATGTATTTATGACTTTGATTGTAGATTACGTCGTATTATGTTACGAATTTATAAGAAAATCCACTGTCTTGTGAATGATTGTCATTATAAGCTTGCTAAATGGCTTTGTGAAAATTATCGTATAATATTACTACCCGAATTTCGCACTCAAGGAATGGTCCGACGTGGGCAACAACGCATTGGTTCCAAGACTGCTCGAGCCATGTGTACATGGTCACATTTTCGCTTTCGACAACATTTGATCCATAAGTCACGTGAGTAGTCATGGTGCCAAGTCGTAATGTGTACAGAAGAATACACAAGCAAAACTTGCGGATTCTGTGGCTATATTCAATAAAAACTAGGTGGATCCAAAGAATTTTGCTGCCCCCAATGTAAAATTAATCTTGATAGAGATATAAATGGTGCTCGTAATATTCTCCTACGATATCTTACAAAAAAGGAAAAGGAGTCAGCTTAGGCTGGCGTGGGAGCCTATTCCCTTACAGGACTTGTTATTGCATAATTTAAACTTTGCGTAATGTGAGATTTTGTTAGTAATGATAGGTTTTAACGTAGGCGTAAAGTACGGTATTTGTCATAATATATTTGTCGATATCTTAAATTAAACTATATTAGCCAATCATGATATTTAACTATGCTTAGTTGATAGTGTTAAAAGGTTAGTAACACAAAACGCCATCAATAAAATTTTCTGTATAAAAGCATATGCGTAAAAAGATTACTAATTGAATATTATGAAATGCTACGATAACAGATAATCAAAGAATTATTTTGGTGTTCTAGTTAAGTTGAATTCGGGAGTGCTTTCTACACATAAATTCCTCCTTTTACTTCTTACATTAAATAAATTTAAAGCTTTGATATTTTCTTCAGTTTTTTTTAATTGTCTCTACAAAAATTGAATTAGTTATGCATTTATAAATTGTTAATTAATAATGATAGAATAAGTGAACATACTTCTAATTCTTTAAAGATACAATATAAATCTTCAAAAAGTCCACATTCATTCTCACAAGATGGTAGAGTACCTTTATCGACCAACCCAAATAGATAGGTACTATTGCCTTCCCATTTTAACGCATAAACATTTATTTCAAGTCCTGCATTAAGAACAATTACATAAGTTATCAATAAAAGTGTGAAGTGCCTTTAAAATAAACATACCATGTTGAGTCCAACCATATAAAACCACAGATTTTCGCTGATCATCATTGAGATTCCGCCATTTTTTAATTATTGAGTTGAGAATCTCTCAACATTACGGACAATTTTATTTTGTCAAAAAAACGTTTCTTTCTTGTCGCAGCAGGAAGACCAAAAGGACCTAATCCACCAGAAACTTCCCCAAATAAAACTTCAACCTTGAATGACGTCTCTTTAAGGTTACCAATCATATCTACTTTTCTACCAATTCTATCTTTTTGAAATGGGTTAGCGTCTTCATTTTGTGCTTCTTTTGTTGAATATGATTGAATTTCGCCCCTATAAATAAAAGACATAATTTTCATTTAATATTTTTTACATAAAATTGATGCAAAGTAACTTACCATCTATCTATTAAAAAAATCATTATTGATAACAGCACGGTAAAAAGGATAGATTGTTGTCATTTTGAGAACTTCTTCAGTTACACTTCCTTTAAGAACATCAATGTTTGCAACTCTAGATAATATATGAAAGTAAAAAATTATCACAGAATTTTTGTAGATGAATTAACATTAAACCATTGATACTTACATATATTGAATGTTAGCATTAAATTTTTTATTTTCATTACTTAAATTACTTAAATTAATACTACAATTGCTGTTGAAGTAATCCTGAATAGTTGACGGAGTTGACTCTGGCTTCCATTGAATTACATTTGAAAATTCTTTTGACAAATACTTTAACATGTCATCATTAATTTCTTTACAATTAAAAAGTGATTCCTTTGTTAGGTCAATAATTCCCCAATACCCAGGCCTATAAATATTATAAGCAATATATTAAGTAATCAGGATAATGTCATGTAAAAATTATTGCAAAACTTACGTGACTATTCTTTTTGTTTTAGAGATTTTTGACCTGTACAAATCGAAGCTTCCTTTTATTTCTTCACTGGTATAAGAAGACTTCGTAGCATAAATATTTAACATTACTTCATCGCTCAGTGTTTGATCATCAATTGTTGAAATAATATTTCTTTCGTTCCCTTCTTCAAATAAGTAATTTGCTTCCACCTCTTGTAACTCTTCAACATCTTCATAAGGTCGTTTTCTTTTTCCGTCCTTTTTATCGAAAATAAACATAAATATACCAAATAATGTGTCAGAGTTGATGTTACTATCTATAATATAATTACTTTATTCCTGTTTCTGCGGGTTGAGGCACTGAAGACGTCGTTTGCATTATTGTATTCTAAATAAGAAATAACCAATAAAATATATAATCGAAATGATTAACTCAAAACTTTTGCAGAAATTGACTTAAATTACTACTTACATCATTATCTAAACAAATTGAGACTTTATTTGAAACAAATGCTTCTCTAGATTGCTGCTCTGTTTGCTAAAGGTAATTTAAAGGTGAACATTGATAAATTTATTAAATGACCACTTAATAATCACATACATGGTAAATATCTTTAATAGTAGATCCAAGCCTTAACTGCATTTGCGAGCTAAGGTAACGACTTAATACAAATTCTGTGCTTGAATCTAGTTTTTCGAAAGGCTAAAAAGAGTATTCACAATAAATCATATTCTTTGAGTTGAACACTTTATCTGTTCCAATATAAACAACCATGTTAATACCTGATAATCAATCAACCTTTTAATAAAGCTTCTATAAAATATATCTATGTCTTTTCTTGATCCTAATAAATTCAATGAATCGATCCATGCTTGTTCTATATCTCCTACAGAGTTCACGGGAATTTTCAACAAAATTACTTGCAACACAAATTGCTGATAGGACCAGTCTTTTATGTTTATATTTGCTAAAGCTGGGTGTATATCAGCTGGTAGCGTATAAGACCCCATATTTGTATCCTCGATAATTAATTGTGGACGCGATTTCGATGCCATTTTTCTAGACTACGCGTAAATTAGCACTATATCGTTATCATACGCAACTGTGATTTGCCGTGTAAAATCTACGTACACAATGTGCACATGAGCACATCGAAAATTTTTGTGTACAAATGACATCACATTTGTGCACAGTAATAACGCGTCACATATCGACGCACATATTGCTTTATGATGCAAAACTCCTCTTTTATAGTTTTGAAGACTTGGACAACTGGATTAACTGACTTAAGTATGTAGAAGAGAGTTGGTATCATATCTTTTCGATTATTTAATAATGTACATATTATTTTTAGAACCAATCGTTCTAACGCCTCAACATCGTTTTAATGTTAAATCAATCGTTTCCGACCAAGTGTTTTTGACATGCAAGACATTGAAATTGCTAAAAGCTCATTACTCTCAGTCGTAATTTCTTAAATATATTTATAAAAGTTATGCCTTTATTAATGTCTTTAAAGCCTTTATCAAACAAATTTTACGTTACCTTCTTATATTTTATAACATTATATTAACGTTTCATTTTTTTCTTTATGTTGTAGGTCCTTAAATGAAATATTAAAACATGGTACTTTTTCTATATAATTAATTCCGTATATTTAAAGTTTCTTTATCCCAACTTATTTAAATATAGGTTTTTATCTTAACAGTTAACATTAATATTACACATAGATTTGCTGTCTCGAAAAATTAGGAGCAATGAAACAAGAAAAATCACTGTTGAATATGTGTTTTTATTTAGCACATATTCAGCTCAGTTCTGTTACCTCCTGCGGCCATGTGGCGAGGAGACCAGAACTGCACACTCATGTGCTATATGCGGCCATGTGGCGGTATAGTTCCTCTGGTGTACTTTATGTCAAATGCTATTGCGGCCATGTGGCGGATAGCCTCTTTGTAATAAAGTCAGACAGGTAAGACGGAACAACGCTGCGGCCATGTGGCGAGCTGAGTTCTAAGACAGTTTTTAATTTGTTATGCGGCCATGTGGCGGTAACTTATTGGAACTGTGGTTCTTTTATTTGTTAAAATTCAAAAACATTAATTAAAGACATGTTTAGTTCCACCCTCAATAGGTTTATCTTATGGTATATATTATTTGGATTATTTATTATCAACGCAATGCAATAATTTATATCAGCATATCAACATACACTATTGTGAAATGCAGAAATAAAAATTTAAACTCCTTCGCTCTTACTCCTATTATCGTTTATATTATTTCGTGATTAAGTTTACATAAAAGTTAAGTATAATTTTGGTGCACTTTATTTTTTATAAAATAAATGTTATAGAATACTTATTATAGCTTCCTCTCTTTAAGTCATTGATGGAAGGTGTAATCCCAATCTGAGGTAATTGGAAACTGCTTTAACTCCAGGATCCAGCTAGGGTAGAGTTTGATCAATCCGATAAGTGTTAGGGTTTGATTAAATTGGTACAGTTTTATTCATTGTGTTACTTAATTTAGTAGGAAGTACTAACTCAAAAATATACTTATCAAAATACCTTTTTTTTGATTTTGCTGCTATAAAATTCGGGCTCTAGATCTGATATCAACTATTTCAGAATTTGCTAATTCTAAATACCAAATACCAAACAAATGAGAAAAATGTAAGACACATGAATCATTTGGTAATTTCAGTTTATAGAAATTAATGATCAGCAGCAAGGTGGTGTATTACTTTCGGAATGTCATTGTATTTATCTTAATTTTATGAAATATCTAGTTTTTGATATTTCTTTTGCAATAAATGAATACATAATGATTTACTGAATATGAAAAAGCAATAAATTTTTTACAAAATGGTTGTAATTGTGATTGTTCAAATAAAATTTTAAAAGAAAATTTTGCAAAATGCGAGAAAATTTTATCTAAATCAGAATAAGATATATTTTTTAATAATTCAATTTAAAGAAAGTTTACACGGTGTTTGAACACTAATCTCGTTACCAATATTTTGTCCTTTAGTTTTTCTTAATTTCTTAATGCTGGTAAAAGTACTATTCGTATCACGTGATCCATGTCCAAACGCCCCTTATACAAATAGAAATTGCTTTTAAAGTAATAGTAAATATCTTAACTGAAAAATTAGATCCAATAAAAAATATTTTTATCATTAAGATTATAATATATCACATTATTAAAAAATATATTAAAAGTATTAGAAATCACTTAATAAATAATAAATTAATTTCAAGAATTTATGATAATATAAAAAGAATATTATATAAAAACTAAAATTATAATAGATAAAAATGTTGCAAAAGCAGTTAAAAATTTTTTGAAAAATTATGTTGAATTTCATAAATTATTAAGTTCTAGTAAAAATATTAACTGAATTATCCAATTACTTATCCAATTACTTATATTTTTACTAATTAAACTAGCTATAAATCAGTTTATTGTAACTTTTTTGCAAGTCTTAAATAATGTAACATATTAAATTTATTAAAATATATATTTTACAAGTTGTAATATCAATTAATATCTTATATTTAAATTATAAGCTTAAAAATAAAAAACAAATTTATATGATATTTGCTAATATTTTTAAAATATAATAACTATAAAAAGAAAGATGCAAAAGATTTACTAATAAAATATAAAAAACATTTGACTAAGATTAAGTTAAAAGAAATTATTATAATCAGAATATTAAATTAATAGAATAATAAAGAAAATTGATAAATGACAATTATCTTGTAATAGAAGATAAAACTGATATTATAATGTTAATACTATTATTTACTAGTTATAATTAGATACAAAATATTTATATTTTATATTCTATTAATAAATAAATAAAATTTACTATTTCAGTCTATGTAAAGTATATTTATTTAATATTCAAGATAAAATAATATATAAGCAAATTAATTTTGTTTTAACAAAAATAAAATAACAGACAAAGATTTTAATAATTAAGTATAATTTTTAATGAAATTAATAGATTAAATAAAGTAAAAAGCATTTAAAATTACTTTTGTAATATAAATAATTAAAATAAAAATAATGTTACTATTTGATTTTACTTATATTTAGTGAATTATGATTATTATAAAAGTGTTAAATTAAATTTTATAATATCTGAATATAATAAATTCAAATATAAATAGCAGTTTTAATTTAATTAAAAAGCTTTATCAAAATGCAATAGTAGGTTATATAGATTATATTATTGAAATTATAATAAGATTAATTATAATAAGATTAAATAAAATTTAGTATTATGTATGATGATAAGAAAGATTTTTAATATTTAAGAACTAGTCTAGCAAAAGTTGAGATTCAACAAATTATGTAATTTCAAGAAAATCAAGTTTAAAATTATTGATTAATTTAGTAAATTATAATTTATTCTGTTATTTTTAAAGATTTTAAAATTAGTTTTTTATAAATTAAAATAAAATTTTACAAAGAATTTATTAAAAGCATTAGTTTTGCTTTAGTAAATTTATTTTATTTATTAAATATAATAATATAAAAATACCAGTAATTATAAATTATGAAATATTATATTTTTTTAATATGTTATATATAAATTTTTTTATTTTCTAAAAATATAAAATTAAAATCTACAAAAATAAAGAAAAATATATTTAATAAAAGTTTTTAAATTTTTATTTAAAAAATAAATTTTATTAGAAAGCAAATTATTTTTATTAATTATCAATATTTAATTATACTTGTTACTAATAAATTCAAGTATTTAAGTTTAAAAATAAAATTTTTAATAAAAGTAAAGAAAAAATATATAATTAAGATTATTATTAGGTAAAACTTAAAGATTAAAAAGATTTTGTAAGTTATCTAAATAGAAAAAATAAATTTAGCAAAATTATATTAAAATATAATTAAAAAGTCTGCAAAATTCTAAAAAAGGTAAAACTATATATCAAAGCTTATAAAAATGTGAAACTATATTAAAATTTTAATAAAAATTAGCAAAATTAAAGTTTAGATATTTTTCATATCTAAAATAAGTTTAGATAAGTAATCTTAAATATAATAATTTAAAAAAATATATTAAAAAATTGATTATCAGTAATATTAATTGTACAACTATAATTGATTATCAAATTAAATAATTAATAATTTTGTATAATTTCTATATATTTTAATTTTAAAAAAATATGTAAAAATCAATTTATTATTAAATATATAGAATTATAATACAAAATTACTAATAATATATTAATAATGTATCATTTCTATATTATTTTCATATATAGTCAACTCTCTATAAATACATTCCTCTTGAGATTAGGTATAAGGATGCATTTAAAAAAGGTGTATATTTATAGAATATATATAAATCTATATAATACTAATCTAAAATTAAGGTAATATGAAAAATTTATAAGTTAACTATATAAAAATTTTTTATAAAAATGTATTTACAGGAAGTATAAATATAAAAAACATACATTTAGCATATTATGATTCAAATTGATATCAAATAAAAGATGTATTTATAGAGAGTTGATTGTATAATTTTTTTATAAAATAGGTAAAAAATATATTGTTAATAGATTAATTTAAGATCAAATTTACGCTTACTTTTAGTTTTAATTTATTAATTATTTTATATGATAAATTCTGTAAAATGTCATTTTAATAAATAAATATAGATATAATTGTGATTTTAGATAGATTAATATCATGTTATAATCATTAAACATGTTTCTTAATAAATTATTTAAAGTAAAAGTTTATATTAGTAATTATTAAATTACTGTACTATTTCAAAATTAGATAACCTTTTTTTGTTATAGGGTTGTTTAATTTCAGGTACTTTTAAAAATAAAAAATTTAACTAAATTTAAAAAGAAATTTGACCTGTTCGGTCATGAATTAGGAATGCTAGTTTATTTGCAAGAAAGCTGTGCATTTAAACGTTAAATATCATGAAGATTGCTTGTAAAATATAATATAATATCACGATTAAATTTAATCACGCGCGATAATGATAAATCATGAGCTCGTTAATAAATCAGTTTAAAAATTTACACAAATGCTACCTTAAAAAAAAGCAAAATCATTTAAATGCTGTTAATAAAAAAATAGTTAAACAACGTCACAATTTATATGCTGTTGAGTAAAAAAGACAAGTTGTCACTTATGCTAAAGAAAATAGAATAATTAAAGCAGTAAATACTTTTGAACTTGATAAAGATATAGTTAGTCGCTAGGTCAAGTCAAAAGAAAAATGGGTAAATGAACTAAACTAAAATAGCAAATGAATTAGCTTTGGTCGAAAATGTTTTTATCCAGAAGCTGAAAAAAAATTATATGATTAGATTATTGAGTAGAGAAAGTAGGAATTAGGTATTTCATATAAAATCACGCGAATTAAAATGCTGAATATTTTAAAAGAATCTGTTATAATGAATCTTTATAAAGATTCAACAAATGAATTTAAAACATCAAACCATTAGATGTTTGTATTTATGAAGAGATATAATCTTTCTTGACGCTAGTATACTAAAATTTTACAAAAGCTTTTATTATAAACTGATGAGTTATTAAAAACTTTTATCAGTTTATCATCTGCCTTAAGACTGAAAAAATATTTGAGTTATCCAATATTCTTAATATGGATGAAACTCCTGTTTGGTTTGATATGGTAGAAAACTTTACTATTGATAATATAGGTGAAAAAACAATTTATATTCATAGAATTGGTAATGAGAAAAATTGATTTACAGTTATTTTGACATATGTCATAAGTATAAATTATTTGACAATTTTTTTTTTTAGCTTTTTTTACTTATCTAATTTTTTATATTATAGATGGAACAAAATTTCTAGCAATTTGTATTTTTAAAAGAAAACGATTATCTCGTGGTAAACAGATTCTATCTGGTATTATTATTTGATTTCAGCAAAATAAATGGATGGATATTATTTTAATGAAGAAATATGTAGATTTATTAATGATAATCTAAGAATTAATAATACTTCAACAATAATGGTATATAATTTTTTTAGAGAATATCTTAAAGAATTAGTTAAAACTAAGTTTTGCGATATTGATATTAATTTAGTGATTATTTCAGGTGGTTTAACTAGCATATGTCAACCACTTGATGTAACTATTAATAAGCTATTTAAAGACAATCTTCATAAGAAATAGCATATTTTGGATGGCAGAAGGTGATGCAAAAATTACTACATCAGAAAACCTTTATTGTGTCAAGTTATCTGATATTTGTAAGTAGATAAAACATGCTTGGAAAGGAATTCCAAATGAAATGATTATAGGGTCTTTTAAGACTTGTAAAATTTCGAATATTAATAAATCAGATGATAATATTACCGAAAGTGAAGATTCTGGTAATGATATCATTGATTTTGATAATGATATTGATAGTATTTATAATGATAGTAATATTGATAATGATATAAATAATAATAATGATATTAATAATATTGATGATGATGAATAAATGTAGATTTTAAAAAAAAACAGTAATAATATAATAGTTTATAATAAATAAAATAAATTTTATAGAAAATAATAAAAAATTAAATTTATTAAGTGCATTTAACATTTTATTAATATTTTTTATTATATTTTATTATAGAAATTTAAAGATTGCTTATTTTTAGATCTATATTAATTTGTTAGTTACTTATTTTTAGGGGTTGTTTAATTTTTGAACAGTACGGTATATAATATTAATTTGTAATAACTTAGATTTTGACTTAATTATAAATTTGTTATGCTTATAATTAATAGGTAGATAAAGCTATAAAGGAATATACAATAATTGCTAAAAAAAAAACTGTTATATTTTCTAGTAACAGTTTAGATTAAAGAAATTTAAAATAATATCAATTTTGCAATAATATAATAATTTATTAAGTACTGTGAGATCTCTATAATAGCAAATAATTTTGAAGATTATTCTATTTTATTATGCTATTATAATATAAAAAAATATTTTAAAGAAAGAACTATTATAAAATTGACATACTAATCAAATTTAATACAGTGCTGAATCTCTATAATAAGAACTTCATTATAGTAAAAATTGAACAAATTTAAAATATAAAAAAAAATTCTTTATGTAAACAATAATCTGCATTTTAAAATTTATCTAAATTTAATATAAAAACTGAAATTGAAAAAATTAAATGGTAATATATTCATGAAAATGATTTATTTATTATTTATTTAAATAATATTTTTATCACTCCAAATGAACGATGTTTTATTATTCTAATTAAATGATTCTTTTATTATTCATTTAGAATGATATTTTATTGTTTTAGTCAAACTATTCTTTTATTATTCTTTTAGATTAATATTTTATTTCAATTGAATAATTCTTTTATTGTTTATTTAAAATGATACTTTTATCATTCCAATCAAATGATATTTATCATTCTTTTGAAATGATATTTTATCATTTCATTTGAATGATTCTTTTATCATTTTTTTTAAAATAATATTTATCATTCTATTTGAACAATTCTTTTATTATTTATATAGAATGATATTTTATCATTCTGATTGAACGATTCTTTTATTATTTTAATCAAATAATATTTATCATTCTTTTGGAATGATATTTTATCATTCTGATCAAATAATATTTATCATTTTGTTAAATGATATTTATTGTTCTTTAGAACAATATTTTATCATTTTGATCAAATGATATTTATCATTCTTTTAGAACAATATTTTATTATTCTAATTGAATGATTCTTTTATCATTTTTTTGAAACAATTATCATTTTAATAGAATGATTCTTTTATTGTTCTTTTAAAATGATATTTTTATCATTCTGATTGAATGATTCTTTTATCATTCTTTTGAAATGATATTTTATCATTTTAATCAAATGATTCTTTTATTATTCTTTTAGAATAATGTTTTTATTATTTTTTTGAAATGATATTTATTATTTTTTTAAAATTATGTTTTATCATTCTAATTGCATGATTTTTTTATCATTCTTTTGAAATAATGCTTTATCGTTCTGATCAAACGATTCTTATATCATTCCAATTGAATAATATTTATCATTCTTTAAAAATAAACCAATCAAAATCAAACTGAATTTGAAAATTTTAGATTAATCCTTTACCTTATCAAGTTAAAAGTAAATTTCAACAAATAGATAATTATAGAACTTGTAAAAATTACTCTTTTTTTTAAAAATTATATTATTTATTATGCATTTTATTCTCACTTTATTTTTTTTTTTTTTGCTTTATATTTTAGAATTCAAATTATTTTTCATTCACTTATGCCTTTATTACACACATTATAATCTGTTAAAAATTAAAAATGAGATAAATATAATAGTTTATTTACATTTAATAAACATAGAAAAAATGATAATTTTAAATTTAATAAATCTGATAATGATTTTTTTAAAAAAAGTGATTATGATTCTAATGGGTTTATAGATCAAAGAATGAAGTATTTATCTGAATTTAAATTAATATGGATTAATACTGCAGAGCTTAAACAAAAAAAAAAAATACTATATATTGGTAATTCAATAACAATATATTATTGTAAATATAGATCAAAAGGAAAATTTACAGTAGTAGCAAAAAGGATGAAGTCACTTACTAATTTTTTTAAACCAGTTAAAGATAAACTTGTTATAAATTTAACAAATAATCAGAATGAACTAAGTGAATCTGATACTGAGATAGTTTCAAATGATAATAATGTATTAGTTTATATAGATAATTCAAATTATTAGGATTTAATTGAAATGGATAACTTAAATCAATTTAATTTAATAGATGATGATATTGTATCAGAAAAAGAAGATATTGATGATGAAATAAATAATGAGAGTATATTAGAAAAATAAAGTACAGCTAATGAAATACAAAGTATTAATAATGATAATTTTGACCTAAAATTATAAAAATTAGAATGTATTATTTTAAAAAATCAAAAAAATCAGATAGTATATAATTATTTGAGATATTGATATATATATACATATTTTAAATATTAGAAAAAAAGATAGTTTGACACAAATTAAAGCAAGTGAAAAAGTATTAAAGGAAGTTTACAATAAAGGAGTTTACAAATCTAGGGTTATTTATAAGTTAAATAATTATTAAATTGAATATAATTCATAATATATTTTATTATAAGATTGTCATTAAAAAACTAAATTATTAATTGATGATGAAGATGCAATTAATTGTATATTTATACTCATGGTAGAAAAATAATACCTAGAGAATACAAAGAATTTGTAATGATAAAATTTTTCACAAATGGATATGATAATTACATGCAAATCAATATCAATAAAATCTGCAAGAATATAACTTTATAAGTTAAGTTTAGCTTTATAATTACAAAAGAAAGGTATTTACTTTAATAAACATGAACATTATTGGCTTAGTATCTGTAAACTTAAACAATAAACTTTTAATTCAATCTATTGAATTAAATACAAGACAATATTACAATCATGCCTATATGAAGATATTATAAAAGGCAATAGTAAATAAATTTAAAGATTCTTTTATTGAACTCTTGGTTTATTTCAAAACCTTAACTTAAGTTACTTTTCAACTTAAGAGAAAATACAAAATATTTATACAAAATAAAATAATATAAAATATACAATAATAAATATAATAATAAAGATAAATAAATATATAAGATAAATATAACTATTCTACTAACTATAATATAATTAACAAGTATAACGATTATAATTAATATAACTAATCTATCTAATATATTAAATAGATCAATGATAATCACTTTAGCAACTTAGTCTAATTTGTCTACTTCGTTAACTTTGTTAATATTTTGATTATATGACTATCTAAGGCACAGTTATAAATTATAACTTCAATATAAAAATATATTGCAATATCAAAAAAAAATTTTAGAAGTCATGATGAATTATAAAAGATTAATGCTAACATTTATTGGTAATGAAATGCAAATGATTCTTCTAGAACTTGAAAGTGAAGAAAAATTACATATTTTAGTTACACATAATGAATGTCTTTTTTATGCTAATGATGATCATCCAATCATTTGAATTCCATTAGATGAACTATCACTTTAAAAAAAGTTAAGAAAAGTCTATAATGATTAGTGAATTTTTATTAGAAATTATTAGAAGACTTAAACTTAAAAATAAATTTGCTATAAGTTATCCAAATATTTTTAAAAATGCAAGAATATTTACATCTAGATAAAAATGAAAAAGATTGTGAACAGCAGAATATCTTTTAGATCAAGTAGTAAATTCAGTAATTCCAATTTTTAATATATTGTATTCTAATAAAATAGCAGTTTTTGCATTTGATAATAGTATTAATCATGGTGCTATAGTAAAAGATAAATTAAATGCTTTTAATATGAATTTAAATCTAGGAGATAAAAAATCATGTATGTATAAAACTTATTATAGATCAAATAAAATATTATAATTTATGATTTTTTCACATAATTATCCAAAATATTCAAATCAATTAAAAGGTATAAAACAAATTTTGATTGAAAAAGATTTATGAAGAGATAATTTATTAACTAATTGTAAATTATATAAAGAAAAAACTAAGATAGCAGATGCAAATAGAACAGATTATTATGCATATAAAATTTTATCATTACAAAAATCTCAACTTCAAAAGAAAATTGAAAAGTATGATCATAAATGTATATTTTATTCTAAATATCATTATAAATTAAATTATATAGAAATGTATTGGGATGCAGTAAAAAGATATACACTTTTTTTTATAAAGTTAATCTATGTTAGTCACCTATATGAAACACAGAATCTGAAAATTTTATGATTCTCTGAGCAATATTATGCTTGGATATGTACTAGATGAGCTTAGAATAATTGGAACATAATGTGAGACAGTTTTAAAATACTTAAGATATAAAATATAGATAACACTATCTCTGAGTAACCAATTGCATAATTAAATTAGGTCTTAACATAACTTATAAGATTTATAAAGTAATCACAATTAACCTTCATCTTATAGGATATCATCATAATTTTATATCACTGAAAATAGTAGTTCACTTCATACCACTTACTTTCAGCTTAAATAATTCACAAGAATTTTACTATAACTTTTAAATAGAAGGATTACTTCAACTATAGAGTTTGTCATATCCTATTTTTATCAAACTATATTTTATAGGTTTTATCTTATTGATAACTTCTGAGATTATAAGATCAAATCTTTTATTTAGATAATAGTTTTGTACCTATAATGTCAAATTTATCTGAAAATTAACTCAATCTCTACCCTTAAGGATAATATAATTAGATAATGCTACAGCTTGCAATGCAGTCTATTATTACTATAGCTACTTGAAGATAGTACTTAATCTACTAATTACTGGTTAATCACTTTTTTTACTTGTATAAGAATTTCTAAGTTTGAAGATGTGAGACAATATCCATTACAGATCTATTAATAAAGGTCAAATTTTTGTTGATTCTTGACTTTATTTACATTTACATGTTCTTTAAAATCTAGTATTTAGGTATGATTAATGCTGATTGATTAACCAGTTACAAATACATATTAGTATATATACTCATATATTCAATTACATATAAAATTCATAAGAAAATTATCTAGTTTTATACTTCAGCTGAGACCTGAACCTGTAGCTATTATAGTATAACTCACAATAAAAGCTTAATTATTACTAACTGAACTAGAGATGCTGATTCTGCAAAAAGATATACATGAGAATATTGTAATTATATATGAGTTAGATTACAATAAATTATTCTTAAAGTATTAGATTCAGTTCCTTTAGTTACAATTTGAAAATATGTACAAATTCATGATGATATATAGATATTTATAGAAAAAAAATTACTGGAAAAATGGTAGAGTTTGCAGCTAAAAAATATAAGTTTTATCGTTGTGTACCTGATGCAATTTATAATAAAATATTAAAATAAAATAAAATAAATTATTTTATATAACTTTTAAATTCTGATTTTTGATTAGATTATATATATATTATGCAATGTTTACATAATTTACAAAATTGAAAAAAAACTTTTTTTATAAAATCAATTCATTTTACAAAAATAAATCATTTTTTTTTATTTGATTAAAATCCAATCAGTAGATTAAATTTTAATAATATTTTTTTAAGTTCCTATTATAAAGGTTTTGCATTATATTAATCAGATTACTATGGTAAAATTATAATAAAATATTAATCTTAAGAGTATTATTTTAAGAAATACTGTATAAAGTAATTAATAATACTTAGAACTTTAATATAAGTTTTTTGGATTCTTATTTACTATATTAAACAAATTCTCAAAATATATAAAATATTAATTTAATTTTATCTTGTTTCCTTAAAGTCATAAAAATTACAAAATAAAAATTTTACTTTAGAAAAATTTTTTTAATCCTACCTTTTAAAACTTAAGACATAAAATTTATTTTTTATATTTATTAGTAATAATAATTACATATAAATATATATAAGTTAAAAATAAAATCTGATAAAAATGTAATAATATTCAATATAATTAAGGTTACTTGTTTAAACTTATTTTAAATTTGAAAAAACATTTAATCTTTAATTTTGCTAATTTTTTACTAAAGTTCAATATAATTTTGTTTTTTTATAAGCTTTGATATAGTTTTACTTTTTCTAAAATTTTGCAGATTTTTTAATAAGGTTTTGTTTTAAACTCATTTTAAATTTAAAAAAATGTCTTAACTTTTGTTTCGCTAATTTTTTACTAAAGTTTTAATATATTTTTGTATTTTTACAAGCTTTAATATAATTTTATTTTTTGTAGATTTTAATAAGCTTTTACTATGATTTTGTTAAATTTTACCTTTTATTTCATTTAAATAACTTGCAAAACCTCTAAATTTTATTTAGCAATCTTAGTTATAAATTATTTAAAAAATTGCTAATTGATAATACTAAAAAATGAAAATACTTCTCTTTTCTGATAAACATAAGTTAATTGATTTAGTATATTATTATTAATCAAAAAATATATTTTGATATTAGGATTTTATTATTATACCTAAAGCATATTAATCTGAATCCAACTGTTTTAATTATTTATTATTTCAATAGATATTTTAAATGGTTTAAGAGCTAAAAATAATTTAACAAGCAATTCATATCTAAATGTAATAATTATATATCTTACTTATTTAGTTATTTTCAAATATATACAGATTTTATAAAGTAATATTATTTTAAAGTATCTATATCAAAAATGGTCTTATAAAGTTTATTATTATTTTTTTTTACTATATATCATAAAATTAATAATAAAAAATGATAAAACTTGTATCTTTAGCTTAAACTTTTTATTATAATATTCTGAAATATGTATTTTAATAATTTTAGAATAATATTTACATATGCAAAACTCAAAACTTAACCTTTTATGTAATATTAAAATTTTATCTAATTATTTATTTTAGACTTGTTATATTTAAATTATTATATAAATTATCAAAAATAAATTAAGTTCACGACTTTTACAAATTTATAAAACTTTAAATATAAAATAAAAACTTATTTTATATATTATAAATGCTTTTACTGTGATATTAATTTAGTTTAAAAAGTGAATATAGTTATAAAAAGATTATTAAACTTATAAATAATAGTAAATTTAAAACGTTTTAAGTTAGTTATGTTAGAAATGGAGTTTATGATCCTAATATAAATCATTTTAGATTAATTACTTTATTACAGTCTAGTAATAATATATATAAATATCAATATGATATATCAAAAAAAATTTAAGTTTATTTTATATGTGAAGTATAAAGTCAATTTGTAAAAATTAAAATATTTATAATA